TGGATGTTATATCCAAAGATCATGTGATGTGATTGCTTTTAGAACAATCGTCGACTCTTTGTGGTCGTCTCACATGTATTGACCGCGTCATGCGTTGGGGCATAATGCCTAAGACCAATGCATGCAATCAATACTACCTAGCCATTATCGGGAACCCATGCTTACTTTCATTCACTGTATACAATTGGTGGACATCATTGATTGTGCAAATACTATTACCCACAAACCAAAGTAATAGCTTTCACGTACTTGTACACATTTTCCCGTATGGTATACTCAGACATCATCAAATATCTGTCTCATTTGTTTGCGCCCATATTGTATGCTAACTGACAAATTGTAGTTGTGCATTTTGAATTGGAGAGAAACCTTTTTTATGTCTCGCATCTCACTTCCATTGGAAATATGGAAAACGACCTTCCAAATCGCCAACAATACGTAAAAATAAATCCTTCCTCATCTGGAATCGCCATCGAAAATTTTCAACGTATACGACGTCATCTGCAAAATAGTTTTCTATAAGACGATTGTTCCCAACTTCCCAATTTCTCTGCAACTACGAATTTCTTGTTTGAGGTTGTGAACGTGACTTTGACCTTGTCAGTTTCAGAAATACATCATAGTTTTTGTCATGACAGAACCGACAAATAATGTCTCTTCTTAAACTTTCGAATCGGATGATGAAGATGACGACATTATATTTTAATGAGTTTAATTAAGAGAATATGTAGAAATAAGTGTGAGAATTAAGTTAGGTTGGTTTGGTATTTACAGAGAAAAAAACATTTTCCTTTAATGTTACCCTTAGAAAAAATGAAAAGAAAAAAATTTGTCATGTGAAGAGAGAGGAGGTGAAGAAGCCTCTCCTCACTCCGAAACTGCAACACTAAAACCGCACCCCTGATATTATGTTCCAAGGTATGGTTCCCCTTCCCGCATCATCTTCCCACTCCGCTCCATTTGACCTTACTTCAAAAATAAGTTTTGTATAATAAAGTAACTAAACTAAAAGAGATTTCCATGAAATCTGAAAATAGATTATAACAAAAACTATTTTATATTGTTTTCTTAAAACAACAAAATAATTCGAGAAATTAAATCTCCTTCTATTTTTTTTCTTTATTACCTATCTTTTTATCGTTTTTAGATTATGACAAGTGTAATAAAATTTATTTATTTTATTAAATATGACAAAAATCACAATATTAATTGTATAGAAAGATGGTAGGAAAAAAAGTAAGAAGATATTTGATTTCTCAAATAACTTTATTACATTTCCAATGGAATAAAATTTTATCATATTATCCAAAATTAATGATTCATAAGTTAATTTTAGTAAAGTTGAATTTTTTTTGTAAAATTCACATGATTAAATGTGTTTGATAACTTTATAATTAAAACTAGTTTATAACTCGTTGGAATCACGGTTACAAAATTAATTAGATTTTTATAGTAAAAATTTAAAATTATTAATTAATTATTTTAAATAAATTATTAATTAAGAGATATTTTTTAGTTATATAAAATTTTAATTATCGTTTCAAATAAATAAGTAAAATTATAGCACTTTTTAATCTGTATTAATTTTATTTTATTTTTTATTCGAATGTTATTAATTTGATCTAATTATAATGAGAAATTTAAAATTTAAAATTCAAAATGAAGAATCAATAGGTTAACAAGAGATATAACATTAATTAGAAAACATAATAGGATATCACATGTAAAAATAACTACTTTTTTATTACTATAGAAAGAAAAGATACTTGATTACAAATAAAAGTGAAATGATAATGTAACCATGATTTTTATGTCATGTTTTAAGGTCCTAAATGACATACTTTAAGGTTCAAAACACAAGATTCATCATTAGGAAGTTAAAAAGGGTTGATATTCATTTCTTATATCATGACTCATGAGTAGTAATCACACCATTTCTACAAGGCAGGAAAAACCATTTTATCATGTGTTGTATCTTGTATTTTATTTTTGTGTAATTTATATTATAAAGAGTCTATGTAGATCTTATTGAATGGCAAGATTTTTCAATAATGTTTGTCAAAATAAATAGAAAACAATTGAAACGAGAGATTAGCAAAGGTGGCATCCATGTATCCTCCATCATAAACATAAGTGTTCTCATGGTACTTCTTGTGTTTATTCTAGTCACATTCATTATTGATCGTTGCAAAACAACTGTAATCCCTAAAGATTTGTATTTCCCTCGATTGACCACCGTCACAAAAACTCCTTATTCTTCAGTCTTTATATTTCATAGATCTTCATCGCGTTTTCCTTCAATAAACCGTGTTATAGAATTTACTGATTCGACTGGTCCTATGGATATTTGGCATTCACTGAGCGACGAAGAGCTCGTGGAGAAAGCAATGATGGTCCCGCGTGTAGCTGAAGATCCAAAGAAAGTCGCTTTCATGTTCTTGACAAGGAGACATTTGCCCTTAAGGTTATTTTGGGAAAAGTTCTTCGAAGGGCATGATGGTCTTTTCTCGATTTACCTTCACACATCTCCCGATTTCAACTACGAGCCTCCAAACTCATCGGTATTTTATAATCGAAGAATCCCAAGCAAGGTTTTTAAAAGTCAATTTGTTTTTTTAAATATTTTTAGAAAAATACTAAACACAATAGTAAAGAAAACGTCAGCTTCTCATATGACACGATCTTTTCGTCTTCATTTTACAGTTTGTTCAATGGGGAAAACCAACAATGATTGATGCTGAGAGAAGACTTCTAGCAAATGCATTACTCGACTTCTCAAATCAAAGGTTCGTATTACTATCGGAATCATGCATTCCTCTATTCAATTTCACTACCATCTACAATTACCTCATGAATGCCAACGGAAGTTTCCTTAGTTCATTTGATGACCCAAGGAAAATAGGTCGTGGGAGATACAACAAACGTATGGGTCCCACAATAACGTTAAAAGATTGGCGTAAAGGTTCCCAATGGTTCGAAGTTAACCGAGAGCTCGCTCATGAAATAATCTCGGACAAAACGTATTATCATGTGTTTCAAACTCATTGTTTGCCACCTTGTTATATGGATGAACATTACTTACCTACACTAGTAAATAAGATTCGTCCTGATTTGACCACAAATACAACTGTGACGTGGACAGATTGGTCTGGTGGTGGGTCCCATCCAATGATGTTTATGAAAAAAGATATCACAAAAACGTTTATAAATGAGGTTAGATACGGGTCCAATTGTACTTATAACGGTGTTAATAGCAAGATTTGCTTCGTATTTGCTAGGAAGTTTCATCCGAACACTTTAGACCCATTGCTAAAGATGGCCCAAAAGATATTTGGGTTTAGCCCATAGAGTCCAAGTTCCTAAGTGTTATTAATTGAAAAAATTAAGATCATATGTAGTTATGTACCACCTTTTGTGGTATCACAATGCCATGTTATGATGACTTATATTTGATGCTATTTAATAATAAAATTATTATGTGTATTGCTACATAAAGGAACTAAAAGTATTCAATCTTTAGAAGATGGTTAATTATTGAAGCCACTAAAGAATAAAAAATGGGTTGGGGTGGGAATAAGTGGAAGAAGGGGTTGGATACTTGGGTGCAATAAGTGGGGGAAATATAAAATGAGATTCAATGGAATCTAAATGAGAGAATAAGACCACCCACAGCGAAGGCTTTTAAACAACTTGAAATGGCACATATATTCCAATTTGGCTTGTAAACCAACACCTTTCAAATATTGAAAGGTTTGCAAATGCTTTTCTATTTTAATATCTAATTTATTTAATCATCCTTTTATTATATTAACCTATATATAGAAGTTTAAGTTATTTGGTTTTCCTAATTTCGTTTCCCTTTCGTGTTCTTTTAAATGTTTAATATATTAAATTTAAGTTTAAATTTAATTATTATTTGATTAATAAATATTAATAACTATTGCTTATTCAAAATATATAAAATCATAAGCATATGACATGTATTTTCAGAGTCATGTAAAAATACATGATATATCTATAAATCATTAACTACAAACAAATTTAGTTGAAGAGATTTGGAGTGCATTTGGAGACCAAGAAAACGAAGATTAATATTGTAATATTCATTTTGTGATTCATGTTTTTGTAACAACTTAATATTTAAATATTTAATAAAGCAAACTAAGTTTCATGTTTTTGTAACAACTTAATATTTAAATATTTAATATAGCAAACTAAATTTAAAAGTTATTATTATTTTGTTATTTTATATTTAAAAATATTATTTTAATTATAGATACTTAAATTTATGTTTATTTATTATTGAGTAATTATTAATGTTTAATATATAAGATATATGTTAAAAAAAGACAAAACTGTAAATTTAGTCCCTGTGGTATTCAAAAAACTTTGGATGGGGTCCAAAAACTTTCTCACTTGCATGGAAGGTCCAAAATCAAAACATTTCCGTGATTTTGGTTCAAAAAAATTTGAAAAGACGATTATGCCCTTTTATTTTCTTTTTTGTATTTTTTATAATTGTTTTAATACTATTCTAATTAAAAAAATAAAGAAAAAAGAAAAAAAATATCCTACACCCTACCCACCATCCCTCTCTCTCTCTCTCTCTCTTTCTCTCTCTCCATAAAACCCATCTTCATCATTCTGATTTTCAGAAAAAACAGAATATCACCACTACCATCTGATGAAGGTTTAAACCATATTGATACACTCTCTCACTTTCTCTCTCTCTCTCTTCCTTATTCATACACATACATATAAGGTTGAACAAGATGAATATACGGAAACTAGATGAAGATGAAGAAATCAGGGGAAATATAAAGATGAAGATATTATGTTCATCTCATAGCTAATACACAAATGCCAGAATTCAGGGGAAAGAAATAGATTTCTTGCCTTCAAACATGAACAGACACATACACTTTAGAAATTGATATTTTGCCTTTAAATCTCATTTCGTCTTCAAATCTCAGTACATCATCTCACCTTTATCTTCTTCATCACCTGCAGGCAACACACCAGCTCCCATGGAGATCGGCTCTACAGCTTTCAGAACTCTCCATTCTTAAACCACAATTCTTCCCATTGCAGAAAGTCTTCAAAACACCCTCTTCCAAGAGCCTTCGTGAATTTCCAACTTTCTTGATCTTTTTATCATCTTTATCACACTCGAGAGCAGTTCTAACAAGCCCATAAGCCATTTCTTTCACCAAACCACTGATCGGAGTTTCAAGCTCGATCAAGAAAGCAGGTTGGGATGTGGGGTTCTTCTGAAATGCAAAATGGACATGGCCATGGCGAGACCCAAATAGGGTTCCGATGACCTTCGGTCCCAACCCATACAACAAATTTGGGCGGTTTTTACGGAGTGAAGTAAGAACTGTTCGGAATCTAGCGATTGTAAGGGTTTGAAACTTCTTTCTTGTTAATGGTGATGGTGATTTGTTCAAGTCTTTCTCTTTATGGTGACAAGGATTGCAGGAAGGGGCTTTTTCTTCTTTTGCTTGATTTTCGTTGCTGACTTTGTTTGACCAGTGGAAGTGTTTCTTGTCTCGAGAGGTTTTTGCCATGGTTGTTTTCATATGAAAGAGAGATAATAACCGAAAGAGAAAAAGGCGACTCCTTAAAAGAGAGAGAGAGAGAGAGAGAGAGAGAGAGAGAGAGAGTATCGGTAGGGGTGGGGTGGGCCCAATTCTTTTATTTATAATTTTTGATTAATAAGTTATTAAAGAAAATATAAAAAAATACAAAAAAGAAAATAAAAAGGGCATAATAGTCCTTTCAAGTTTTTTTGGACCAAACTCAAAGAAATGTTTTGATTTTGGACCTTCCATGCAACCTCGAAAGTTTTTGGACCCCATCCAAAGTTTTTTGAATACCACAGGGACTAAATTTGCAGTTTTGTCTTAAAAAAAGATAAAACAATTGTTGATGTGGTAGTGATGACGACTTTTGAGAGATGAGACTTTTGAAAGATGGGTGACATTGCATTGATGTATAAGTAACTATATGGGGATGATAAACTAGTTTTATTGTAAAAGAAATAATAACATATGATCATTAACTATAAATTTCTCCATTCTCGCTTCGCGAGGAATGCAGGCGAGGTTTTGCGTACTATATATTATTAATCCTTTTATCGTTTTGATGTGGACTGTCTGGGGGAGGGGGGAGCAAACTTGCCGACGTAGGAAAGTGTAGTGATTAAACCTGTAAATTTTCTATTAAGTAGGGACTATTTTTGCCATTTTTTAAAATATGGATTGTTGCTGTAAAAAAATACACAATAACATGTTATGTAAATTACGGGACAATTTTTGTAATATATTTCATACACAGGAGCTAAACCTGCCAACATACAAAAATGTTAGATACGTAGACTTTTTATGAAAAAAGAAACTTTACAGAGATCTCTTTGTAAATTTAAAAATTACAGAAAATGAAGAAATAACAACATTTGTTGTTCTTTGGGTCCTTTATGGAGGTTTCATAGTTGATAAAGAACATAGAACATTTAAGACACAAACAATACTTCAATTTGATGTAAAGATGCTAGTCTTTGTAAGAAAACTCTTAAGCTTAAAAGTAAGAACCAAGTAATAGTTTCAAGAGAGCAAAAGTGCAAGTAACTTAATCTTTTAATCTTCAAAAACTAGAGAGAATGAGAGAGTGCAAGAGGGATGCGACTTTTTCTTATGAAAAGTAATCCAAATGAAAGCCTCTCATGTATTGTTTAAGTAGAAACTACGTTTAAAGGTCATTGACCATTAAGCCCTTATGACACTAGACAAGGATACCTCCCATGCATACTAGCCATACATAATACTTTTGATTAAATAAACAAAAGAGCCATGCCCCTCATATCCTCCTCCATTCTCGATTTTATGAAGAAAAAAGAAAGAAGTTTCCAATTTTATGAACAAGTTTATAAAATATAAACTCTAACTTTTTGGTAAAAGACAAAAAGATTTATATAGTCCAAAATGTTGTACATGACTTATTAACTCATGTCATAGGAAATAATATATTACTTGTTATTGTAAATTAATTATTTTCATAAAATAAATACTTTCCTAATTTATTATAAGAGTTCATGAATATTTTTTAAAATCAATTTCTAACAAATAATTAATTGTCTCAAGTTATTGTTACTGTGTCTTTTAGAATCATATGTCAATTAGCAATATTGTTTTAATACGACTCTTTAGCATACTAGAGCTTTCACATATATCCCCACCACACATCGTACACCCATCTATCCGCCGTTCCCCTTCCACCTGATAAACCATGGGTTGTAAAACCCTAGAAGTTAAAGGAGGCAGATAAAGGTCATGAGCGTTTGCTGATGAAGGCACATCTAGGAAATCGAAAACCCATAGTAGTGGCAAATGAAGGTCACTGTAACATCCCAAAAATTAAGGTAAAAAATTTCATTTTTCCAACCAATCCAAAACCATAAGTGTTTGCAAAATATAATTTCTAAAAATTCATAAACATTAATTAGAGTATCCCAAAATCATAATCTCATACAAATCCAGGATGATGTGCATGATCAAGCCTTTGCCAATCCCCTATCCTCAGGAGTACCTAAAACCATAACAATCAAAATGTAAGCAAAAACTTAGTGAGTTCCCCCAAAGTACCATACATAACCAAACAGATAACAATATGCATATATGAGCCTTCAACATGAGTGGACCGCCTCATAGAGCCTACAGCCTATCTGGACTACTCTCCAGGCCTGGACTGCCTCACAACACCTACAGCCTATCAGGACCTCCCTGGGGATATTAGCATTCAACACAAAGAAGGATCACCTCAACCCAACCACAATATGTCGACATATACAACAGATAAACACGTATCCAATAAATACATGTAATCATACAAAATTACTAATCTATCATATAACCAGCATAACATCATCCTATATACCACGATACATAACCTAGTGGGTCGGTATTGGTGCCTTCGACCCACAAGTACAATTATATCCTGATACTTATGACTAAAAACATTTCGAACTAAAATCCTTAATTTATGCAAAAAGCCTGAGACATAACCTATCCCATTTTACCCCTCAGCTTACATCGAAAAATCGAAGGTTTAAATCACTTATCCAACATCATACACCTCCAATAGAGTCTAAACTCCAATCCATTGAAGCACAAATCCTCCATTTGATCCATTTATTATCCATAATCCTGAAATAAAAACTTCTTGAAACAGGATGTTACAGTCACCGAACGGAGGCATATTCACGATGACCATAAGTGTGGATGGCGTGGATTAGAGATCTAGAAAACCCCTAAGCTTGAAAAAAAACATTGAACTCGATTTTTAGAAACCCACTTCCCATCATTTTTTCAGAAATATTTCCTTTCTTCTCCTATCGTCACAAGGATTTAGTTCAAGAACTCACATCTGGATCGAGATTCGCATGTGCGTTCTTCTCCCATCATCACAATGATTTAGTTGAAGAACTCGCATTTGGATCGAGATTTGCATGTGTGTGTTATATTTATTTTGTGTTTTTCACCACGGATTTTGAGATTTTTCTTCATCAATTTCTACATCTTGAGTGATTTCTACGTCCGAGTCGATTTTTGGTTCTACATCCGGAACGTTTTTCTAGGGTTTTATCAATAATTTATTGGTTTTTGAGTTTTTCCACATGGATCTTGTGTGTATGTTCATCCTTAGGTTTGTTAAAGAGGAGAGAGAGAGAGAGAGAGAGAGAGAGTGTGTGTGTGTGTGTGTGTGTGAACGGTGAGAGGGGTGGGTGAGATTTTTATTTTTATTTTTTAGTTATAAAACTATTAAAGTGAATATTTAAAAATGTAAAAATGAATTAAAAGGGTGTTATAGTCTTTTCAAGTCATTTTAAATTTAATAGGGACAAAAACCATAAAAAATATTCAATTTTGAACGAATGATGCAAGTCGGAAACTTTTTGGACATCATCCACATTTTTTGACATACCACAAGCGAAATTAAAATATAATACTTTTCTTTTTTTCTTTTTGTCTAGCCAACTTGAAAAATTGTTATTGCTTTTCTATCTCTGATTTCTCTTTTCTTTTTTCGTTCCGAAAAAATATTTATCGATAAACTATGGACGATTTGTTATATCACAATATTTCAGTCTTCCTACAAAATTGACATCGGGTGCGAAGAAAACTACAACATGGTGCAATGTATTTCAAAGATAATTGGAATATTTATTTTTATTAGGGTTATTTTATTTAAAAAAAAAATTTATTAAAATGTTTCTTATAACTTGCTAGATGTTTTAGAAATTTATATTATCTCATAAATAATATGAGATTGAATTGGAACCATGTGTTTGGGATAAATACTATCAAGTAGTCAATCCTTTTTCCGTACCGAGAGAAGATCATTGCAAAGGTAGATACGATGAAGACCCTTTGGTAATATTGATTTAAAGGTCGAGATTCTTGATTTCACAGGACATGATCACCTCGATAATTATACTTGAAGTACCCCCGGTGGAGTTTGTCCGAATTTAAATCACTCATTTGGGACGTAAAGGATGAAGATGAGACCAACGTATTATGTGACAGTAACTCCATCTATGATATGAAAGACGTCCACGACACCGATGATGAAGGTGAAGTTGTTGAAAATTGAATTTCTTAAGGCCACTTAAGAAATTATTTGTTAAGCAACTTGTGGAATCTTTGATTGTGAGTGGTGTCATGTTTGGTATATTGTATTCGTTTTAAAGTATCAAAGCTATTTGGCTTTTAGAAACCGTAGAGTGGGGGTGGAGCGTTAGTAGTGGAAGAGGTGTGGGTGAGATGAGGATGGTGATGAATATGGTGACTTCCGTGACAGTGGTGGTGGTGGAAAAAAAATCATGTTAGAGTTTAGAAAACACCGTCCAAATCAGAAATTATTTTAGTTTTTCAGAAAAAAAAAGTCAAAAAGTAATTTTTATACTTTTGTCTTACGAGAACAAATATATTTTTTTTCAATTGTCTTTTCACCTGGAAATATATAGGTCAAAAAGACTTTTTACCAAAAAAAAAAAAAACCCACATAAATTAATTTAGTGAAGTGATCTTTTCATCGTTTAGTATTTGTTTTTGCCTTTATACAAGTTTCTTGAAATTAATATTTTTAAATTAACTCGAATAAAACACAATCGAGCATATTTCATCGTATTTTGTTTGACCTAGTAATGTGTATATTATTCAATAAATTAGCAGAGGTACATGAAGAGTCAAACAATAAAGTTTGTATCGTATCAAATGCGACTTTTATATTCTTAAACATTTTTATATAACTTTCTCAACAGTTTTAATCAAAAGAAGATTATTATAAAATAATCAGACCAAGTCTTAATTGAGTCCTGTTTCATCGTATTTATCGGACCGGTGCATGTGTTTTTATCGGAAACTTCCGGTCGGTTCCAGCCTATTAAACCGTGTTGCTGGGCGGCCAACCAGAAGCACACAATTATTTAATTTTTTTTTTTTTTTTTTTTTTTTTTTTCTAAAAAGGTTCTTTCCAATAAACCGTATATTATAGTTTCATACAGAATCAT